GTCGAGCCTGCCCCCCTGGATGGGCGACGACAGGCACGGCCGGGGCACCTTCGCGGGCGGCGTCGCGCTCGCGGACGTCGTCCTCGGCGCGGGCGCCGCGAGCCCGCTCTCCGCGGCCTACGCGGGCCCCGTGCTCCTCGCGGATCCCTAGCTAGAGCCGGTCCCCGAGGGCCGGGGCGATCTCGATGCGGAGGCCGTCGGCGGCGAGGCAGAAGCCGAGGCTCCGCCGCCGCCCCTCCGGGTCCGGCCGGCCGTCCGCGAACGCGCGCGCGGAAACCGACGTCGCCGAGAGCGCGAGGTTGTGCACCGCGAGGTCCACGGGCGCGCCCGAGGGGAGCTTGAGCGGGCCCCAGAGCGCCTTGATCGCCGGCGTCCAGAGCACGGGCAGCCGCGGCGACCGGAGCGGGCCAGCGCCGCGCGCGCGCCCCCAGCCGGCGACCGCGAAGCCGCCGCCGGCGGAGGAGACCGCGAGCGACTCGCCCGCGTCGTCGAAGGCGAGCGGCACGGCCTCCGCGGGCACGGCCCAGATGTCCTTGCAGGCCCGCTCCGCGACGTCGCTCGAAACGACGAGCCGCTCGCCCCACTGGCCGAGGCACCCGTTGCGCGTCACCAGCGCGCCCATCTCGACGAGCTCGAGGTAGGCGCCGACGGGCGACGCGTCGTACTGGAGGGCGACGACGCCGCCGAGGGTCCAGCCGAAGAGCGACACGACGTCGACGCCCTCGGGCACGCGCGCCGGCGCCCGCACGAGCTGCGGCGCGAAGATGAAGCGGCCCTCGAAGGTCCAGCCGTCGTGGCCGTCGTCGGCGGCGGCGCGCAGCGGCCGGAGCGCGCGCCGCGGCGCCGCGCGCTGCCAGGCGGAGGTAGAGGCGAGCAGCGCGCAGGCGAGCAGCGCGAGCAGCTGAGTCACCACCATACAGCTGTAGCTCGTGAGGCGATTATCCTCGTGTTGCCCGTCAACGTTGACGCCGTCCTCCAACGGCAGCACCCGCAGCCCCGCAGCGGACGCGACGCGACGCGACGAGACGCGATGGCGGCGACGCGCGCGCGCGCCTTCGCGCTCCTCTGCCTCGTCGCCGCGGCGCGCGCCGGCCCCAAGGTGAGGAAGCCGCCCAAGGTCGAGCTCGACGAGTCGAAGCTGCCGCCGCTGGAGAGCGTGCTGGCCGAGCTCGGCGTCGCCGACGTGCTGCCCCAGCTGCAGGCCAAGGGCCTCGACTCGACGCGCCAGCTCTGCAAGTGGTCGCGCAGCGACGTGTCCATCCACGGCATGGAGCTCGGCTGGTCCCGCGACCTCCAGAAGGAGGTGCTGGACAAGATCGCGGCGCTCGTCGCCGGCGCGGCGAAGGCGGCCGAGGCCGTCGTCGTCGACGAGCTCGCGGCCCTGCGCGACGAGCGCAACAACCTCACCTACGGCCGCGTCTACGTGGACCGGTCGTCGGCGTCCTTCGAGTACCGCCGCGCGTGGTTCGGCGCGCGCCTGCCCGAGTCGCCGCTGCCGATGGTCATGGCCGCGCCGCGGAACGGCTGCGCGCCGCTGCCGCCGGCGATCTACGCCGGCGCCGTCGTTTTAGCGGACCGCGGCGGCTGCGGCTTCGTCGACAAGGCCTGGGTCGCCCACGCGGCGGGCGCGCGCGCGGTCGCGGTGCTCAACGCCGCCGACGGGCCCTTCGACCGGCCGACCGCGGGCTACGCGACGGACGCGGAGGTCACGCCGTCGCCCGGCGACGTCGCCGTGGCCCTGCTCCACCACGACGCGAAGAACGGCCTCAAGGACGCCGCCGCGGCGCCCCTCGTCGCGCTCGGGGACGCCGCGGTCATCGCGACGCAGGCGACGGGCCGGTGGCGGTCCCGCCTCGAGCGCGCGGGCCTCCTGGAGCCGCGCGTCGACGCGACCCAGGGGCCCTGGGACGCGCGGGACGCGACGCGCCTGTCCTTCGTGCCCCTCAAGTGCGCCGCGGGGCAGCCCGAGTGCAAGCCCGTGCTGCCCGCGGAGCGCGCGATGGTCCCGGACGTCGACAGCGGCACCGTCGCGGCGGGCGGCGAAACCCACGAATTCGTCGCGAGCGTCTGGGGCGGCGTGCTGCCGTCGCGGCCCCTGGCCGTCGTCGCCGCGTCGCCCTACGACCTCTGCGCGCGGCCGCCCCATCTCCCGTGCCGCCTCCTGGGGCTCTTCTGCCCCGGCCCGCGCTACGGCGACTTCGCGGCGCGCGCCCCGGGCGCCCTCGTCGTCGCGAAGCGCGGCGGCGGCTGCTCCTTCGCCGTCAAG